TTTTTTGCCGCATCCACCGGTACATTGTCGTTCGGTGAACGCCTAGCTCAGCAGCCAAGGCGACGACTGAGCTGGCCTCTCCGAGGCGTAAAAGCCCTCGCAGCTTGGACTTGTTTTTGTTCTTCGGGCGCCGTGTCATTTGCACAATGGGGGCGGGTATCATTTTGGCGCGGAAGTGAGATTGTTGGTGCGCAGTGAACACAAGTTTTTACAGCTAAGTCTCCGGGACGAGCCCATTCATTGGTTCCGTCAACTTCCGAAGAAGACGAAGCGCAAGTGGAAGCTGTTGAGCGATGCGTTCATCCGCTACTACTGCTCGCAGTTCACGCAGACGGCACTGTCGCGTTACTACTCCGCCAAGCGGAACGTAATGAACATCTGTGCGACTACATAAACAGGCTGAATGGCTACGCTCGGACCGCCCGTCTACACTTTGAGAAGAGTGGTCGCGACGCGAAAGAACACGTACAGCAATTCCTGGCAACATGCGACGATGACAAGCTAGCGGAGAGTCTCTACCACGCTCGAGTCGCCGACATTCACGAGCTCGAAGAGATCATCGAAGATGTTCTCAAGGGCAAGGAGAGAATGGCCAAGCGTGACAGTGAGTACCGATACTCCAAGAGTCGTGATACGCGACGCGACGATGGGTACGCCCGCAACAACCGGCGTGATGACCGTCGCCGCGATGACAACCGCAACAAACCAAGAGTGACACTCATTGAAGCCACGGTGGACGACCTACTAGCTGAATTAGAAGGTCGTGAAGCTGCTCAGGGAGGCACCGAGTATTCAAACGAAGATCCGAACGCTTACGACGATGTCCAAGATGAGTACAACGATTTTCAGCCTGATAATACGGACGGTGATTTCTCATTGGACGAAAACGACCGATACCTCGCCGCGGCTAACGAAAATGAGCGCCGTGCAGCTGCTGAAGGCACCTACGCACGTTCAGACAACCGTCAACCACGTAAAAACATGCCTGATCGCGATAATGGCTTCAATCAAGATCGCCGAGGTGGTGACCGTGGGTTCAATCAGGACCAACGCGGTCGACGTGACTTCAACCGCGACAACCGACGCCCACAGTACGGACCATGCGCGGTGTGCGGTGGCATGAGTCACTCCGCCCACTACTGTAATAAGCGATGCAAGTTCTGCAAACAACTCCACGATGCTGGACAATGCGAACTTTTCCGCAACTTCCAAGACCTTGCCAAATTTGTGCGCACCAAAGGGCACGAAGGAGGAACTCCCGCCAGAGCTCAAGGCCGTCGTTCAAGAACGTCATTTTAAACTAGGCAGCCCGCCAACTACAACCTGGATTGGTCGCTATCGGGCTGCCACAGTTAACCCGAGCCCTCCAATGGAAGCAGAGTGTAGTCTTTTGCTTCCATGGGCCAGAGTGAATGGCCTGATAAAATACGTAACCAAGTGTGAACGCGAACGGAAAATGAAAAGGAGAGGAGTAGAATCCCTCGGTGGAGGTGTTGGAGAAATAGTGGAGTGTGCTGATGCTGATGAGGGCACCAGCGAGGATTCGCTCGGCTTGGTTTCGAGTGCAGCGCGAGACGAGCCCAAGGGTCACTCCAAGATGATGAAGTTGAACCCTGGCGAGAGACAGGGGTGGTGGTCGGCCAAGAAATTCGACCGACGGATCAGAATGAGAGCTCTGGTGCAAGGCGCTGTGAACGACCAGCGAACGAGGATTCTCCTCGACACAGGAGCGAACGTTAGTGTGATCACTGACGCCTTTGCTAAGAAGTTGCGACTCCGAGATGTACCCGATCACGGACGCCGCATTGACATTCAAGGAATCAACGAAGGCAAGGTGTCTACGACGCGACGGGCGTGCGTCAAGATTACGCTCGGATGGGAGATGGTGTACGAGTTTGAGATGTGGGTAATG